CCAGAGATCCGGGTGATCCTGGATCTCCCTTCCTTCCGCCGCGCCCTTAAGACATGGCTATTTCAACTAGCAGGACTGGCCTAAGGGGAAATTTTTAGCGGGGTTTTTAAAAAACAATTTTAAATTAATCAAAGGCCAAATCTAATATTTCATTTTAATTATGTTTTTTAACGATAGTATTGGGGTATTTTTTGTATTTGTTTTTTTATCAGGCTGTCAGCCGCCCTGAGTCCGTAAGGAGAAGGGCGGGGTAAAAATTCAATTAAATAAATAAATAAATAAATAAAATGATGTTGGCTTAATATGGGCACTAGCTAGGGGTCATGAAGTGAATAGGACACACTGAAAAGAGAACTATCTAGACGTTCTACATGAATATTGGTCTTTCAAATAAGACAAATTAAGTCAATTAGGAGAAAACACACATTAGTCTTTATTATTATTAAAGTATCAAAACATAAACTTAATAAAAAACAAAGCATCTTTATTGTATTATTAATTGTTCAAATAAAAATAGATCATACATTCATGCACTTCTCCCATTCAAATATCTCCTAACCACTCTGAAGACCAGTATCTGATCTTGTAGGGGTTTGCATATGCTTTAGATAATGAGGGAAAATTCCACCATGATCACATCTACAGTCATTACAAACAGGCAAAGTTACATCAGGTGGATTTTCTCTGACATAGAGCTATCAGAGTACAGTCCTGATTAGAGATTATTTTACATCCAGTCTTTCTGTCCACTATTCTCTCAAGTGATGAAAAAAAATATACTGTTGTACCATCTTGAGACACATGCTCTCTTTCCAAACTCAAATGAACTAACGTGCAGAAGCAGCCACGGCTAAAATAATAATATCTTTGACAAAGTTAGCAGCACCTTAGTAAACATTTGGCATGCTAGTTAACAACATGTGTGTAACTTGAAGCAACAGGAGCAGCAGCAACAGCATGACGCCTGCGTCATTTTAAATAGGATATCAAACACACATAGAAAAATATTTAAGGGAGAAATCTTAATTCTCTCTATATAATATCATGTATAAACGGCATCAGAAATTACCTTTTTATTGTTTTTGGGTGGGTTTTGGAAAGAGTTGAAATGTATGGACAGGGGGTCTGTAAATGCTTTTGGGGGTATTATATTGTGCTAGCACTGAAGGTAATTTTTATTACCTGAGAGGGACCTTGAAATCAGGGAGTCTTTGTATAAGTGGAAACTATCTTCTACTTACAAAAATTCTACTACATATGTATGTCTATGAGATTCTAGATCATTAATTAAACAAAATGAAAGCAAATCCTGAGATGTTCTTCCAAAGTAGAAGAAATGTAATTGTGAAAACTGGAATAGATAGGATGACCACAAGTTTCATCAAAACACATATATCAACTCCCCCCTTGCTCAAACAAACAAGAAAAAGAGCAAAGGAGCTTATAAGATAGGCTAGCATATATGCAAATGTATATGCAGAAGTACACATTTGGAAACCTTTTTTTAGCATGTAAGTAATAATACAGTGCATCTCACTGGAATGGAGAGGATTTGAACTAATTCCTTCATGCAGTAGCTTGGTCTGCTGCTTGAGGATTAATTGGGCATGGATAATTCCCAGGTCTTTCCTCTTTTTTGGGGCGGGGGGGTGAGTCTCTCTCTCTCTCTGCTCTGGCCATGTTTCGCAACTTTCACTAAAGCAAGGAAATGTTACTCTAATGACGGAGCCTATTGGGATATCCTTCTGTGCTATTTGAAGTATAGGCTACATATTTCCTTCCACTTTTCATTTTTGGATCCAGTGCACAGCATTTATCTTGAGTGAATACTTTCAGAGAAGCAATAGTTACAGAAGGTTATATGCTGTATAATCATATATAACTACACAGGTGCACAGAATCATCGTCAAATAAACCCAATTTATTTGACTGCTAGAGGTTAGCAGTTATATAATAGCCCTCCATATAAAGTATAGTCAATGAATTGATATACAAAGGCCACTGGGATGTATTGTCAAAAACTTCAGAAAAAGTAATACCTTTTGGATGCTGGAAGAAAAAATATTTCTCTAAAGAGATAGGGTTTGGCCCATTTGGAACACAGCAATGTAATAGACATAACAATATATCCAGATCATTGAAAGTATATTAAATACTTCTGTTGCAGAATATAAAAATTGGTGTGAGATAGAGAAGTAAGCTAGTCCAGACTACAAATCTACATTTTGATGCTGCTGTTTGAGGACTTTACATGCATATGAAGTTTAACAGAAGTAATGCTTGGACAAAGTATTCTTTTTGCAAGCTATTTAGTCTACTGTTTCAATTCTGTCATTAAAGAAAATAGAGCTCAAAGACTAAAACATGCAAATAAAAAAAGTTGCCTCATGAAAAGAATAGCATTGCTTCTGTGATGTGAAGCATTCCATCAAAGCAAATCCAAACCACAAAGCCCACTTTTACCGTACTTTTTCATCTCTATTCCTAATGATAATCTCTATTTCATCTCTAGTCCCACAGATAGTCTTCATCGGTGGACAATTTTTCACTTAATTAATGTCTACATATAAATTAATATTTGTAAATTGCCAGCAATTACATTCTCTGGTTCTGAAAAAGATTGTGCCAAGGAAACATTTGTAAGATGAGGATCAAGAACAAGATGAACCACAAGTCAGGAAGACATACAATTTTACATCTCTAGTGATTATACCATGGTTGTATAACATTCTTTTGAATACTAAATGTGACTCATTAATTGAGTTTTGAAAGGGGCATTCCCCCTTCCTAAAGTAAGCCAAGAGTGGTAATGCTCCAGTTTGATATATTGAGTCTTAATTCAGTGAACAATTCTGCAAAACACTGAAGCTTGTCACATTTTCCCACAATCACCTCTAACTTGAGTCATCAAAAACCCACAGAAGGGCTTTTATGAAAACATGTTTTTAACAAAGTGCAGTGCCCAAGTTAAATGTTGCATCTCGAAGTTGCTAACCTCTTTTTCTTTGAAAGTATAAAACAAAACAAACAAAACATAACCCAGTCCACCTACATTCCTTATCTAGTGAGTGGAATCCTTTTAGCTTGGTAGTTCATCAGATGTACTCATAGAGAACCCTTCTGCCCTACCAGAAACATTGCAAGTGCATACCAGAAGGAGTTTTACAAGTCTATAGCCATATTTCTTCTAGGATAGCAAGTGTGGCAGCTGGTTAGACCTGGAGCAAAGGCTGTGGCTCTCTTCCACCCAACTGAGTCTTTGCTAGGGAAAGCTGAAGCTAAGCTACCATAGTCCTTTCTTCTCAGCAAAGTCGTGTCAAATCCATCTTCCATTGGCTAAATGGAGGCCACAAATGCTGAAATTTCTTCTCTGTGGCTTCTGACTTGGGATGGCAAGTTGTTATTGTTGTTTTTCATGATAAGAAGCATGGCTAAAGAATATTGAGCACTGCCTCATTATTGTCTAGCCTTGTAAGGTCCCCTCTTTGATCTGCTGAATGAAAAGGTTCCTTTCGTCCTCTGGGGTCCTGCCATTCTGGGCCCGGACAATACAGGTGGGTCTATGTAGGTTGAGCATGTAGACCAAGTGTTGCTTCTCATTTTTCAACTCTTCAATCTGAGCTTTCAGTTCTGCATTGATTGTTTCCAGTTTTTCTGATTCCTGGTAACAAAAGAAATGTATAACATAGAAATTGAAGTTTTAAAAATACAAGTGAAAAATAAAAAATATGTAGCTTAGGGCTCATGACTATATGTACTGGGAAATAATACTATGGAAACCCATTTTCTGTCAAGATTACATAGATGATTATGATGGTTTCCTCTTTGTATCCCTTTGCCTTTGTATATCAGCTTTAATCTTTTGATCTCTATGCAGAATTCTGCAGCTAAAATTATTCACTTCCCCATGTTCAGACCATCCAGTACATTTTTCATGTAGTTTAAATGCTTTCTCATTTCTTTCCATGTCTCTTTTACAAGCTATTATCTTCTTATCTTCTTACCATTTTCCACAACATATCTTTTTACTCTTCCAATTCTAAATTTCCCTCAAGAACCTTCTGTTTCTTGAAGTTGCAGCTCCAACTCAACCAAACAAATTCCTGTCTTGTGGTACAATGGTTCAAATATTAGAGAGTGGAGTGGAAGTCATAGTAATTATTATACAGAACATAGAATAATAGGGTTGGAAGGGACTTTGGGGGTCTTTTAGTCCAAACCCCTGTTCATTTATAATTCAGTCACTGTATCTCAACCCATATGGAAGGTGAGCCAGGAAAACAACTAAAGGAAGCAATCTAAAGGAGAAGCAAGTTATAAAATTAATGAATAGATAAATTATCTATTATTATTACTTGCTACCTTTATTTTCTGCAATCTGGTCCCTGGGGAGTATAAGAGATGCAGTCCAACATGGCGGAAGGAAGGAAGGAAGGAAGGAAGGGAGGAAGGAAGGAAGGAAGGAAGGAAGGAAATCTGCCTCCCATTTTAAAGATCAGTTACTTGGGAGAAAAAAATGTAGCCCTCATTTCAGATAACCTCAGTCTTTAAAGCATGAAATCTCTGAGGTAATGGCTTGTCTTTGGGAAGTTTTTTTCCTGTAAAAATTTCTGCTACTACAAGTACAGTGAACGTTTGCTTGATCATTTTGAATATGTCTTGAAAAAAGTTTAAATTCTAAGGGAAATATGTCCCATTATTATTAAGATTAAAAACCTTAATTAGTTAAGGACTTCTAAAGCACTTCTAAAGCTTTAGTCTAAGATTTTACTTTTTCCTTCCAGATTGATGAGCCAGAATAATTTCACCTTTAACAGGTTAACGAATGTTATAATTAATCAGCAACACACAGTGAAAATTTTCAGAATCATTTATCCATATTTTAAGGATCTTTTGACCTTATATAGATGTGTTTATATTTTGCAGATATTAATTAGAAAGTGTCAGTTAACTTACTTTCTGCAGGCATTCCGTTTTTTCCTTCTTTTTGTTTCGACATTTTGCTGCTGCAATCTTATTTCTTTCTCTCCGACGTTTTTTCCTTTCATCTTCTTCGGGGGCACACTAATAGAACCCAAAAATTCAAAGAGATTAGGGTTCGATGGGGTATCAGCCCAAAAGGGGGTGGAGGGGTGGTGCAAGAGAGAAACTCTTTATGTTCCCTATAGATGTTATAATAGCAATAAGCCTGATTTGTTCTCTGTCAACAAAATGACTAACTGGTTATTTTGACCATTTTACTTTGTATGAAACAGAATAGAAATTTGCCGACATGTTTAGGAGATCACTGAAATGCAGAAAGTTGATGTACGGTAAGTCAAAAAACCTCCAATATGTAAGCACAACCTTGAAGAAGCTTCCCTACAGTTTCCAAATAATGTCGAATGTATTTCAATTTATCTGATCTACTAAAGAGGGTAGGTGCATTCTGAATTTTCTTCACTAAGCAGGTTTAAGTCCTAATAAGGCTTATCTTCAAAAACCATTCTCTGCCAGAGCACAACCTGGAATACTAAAAATGATGTCTCTGATCATGATGGAATGTCTTTTCATATCATAGATCAAAAGAGTTTTCCTTCTCCTCTTGCTTTCCTTTATAATTGGAATTATGGAAAAAGAACATAGGAAGTCAAGAATTATCAACTCTCCATTGAAGTCTCATGACGAGAAAGTTCTCACTGCCTTTTTAAAAAAAAGATGCCAGGGAATGAAGAATTTCTATGTGCAAAATGTATGAATTACATTGCAATATAGTCCTTTCTGAAAAGCACGTGACCCAGGAACATATGAAGTGTATTACACTGCATAATTATAAAACCTGTAACAGTTACAGGAGCTTCATATTTCCCTGATGCCTTCCAGATACAGATCACATTTTCAACATTGCTTGTCTTTCATTAAGGCATTCCCATTCAAGCACATGAAGATCATTAATGCAAATGCCAAAGGGATTAACCAGGTGGCAGCACCTACCCAACTTTGTCTGATCTTGAAAGCTAAACAGGCATATGTGTCCAGGAAGGCAGCAAGTGTCAAAATTCATTAGGAAACAAACTTTGCTCTTTATGTTCTAGTATGTGGCTTTACTACTTTGTCATTCTGATGTCATCATAGATAGGATATCTACATAAGCAGGTTGAGATCTCATTAGTGATTGTATAGGAAATCATCAGGGAATCCCAAAGCTGTATATTAGACTGGGAAATTAAAGTTCAGTATCTACCAATCTATTTATCATCCATCTGTCTGTCTGTCTGCCTGTCTGTCTATCTATCTATCCTGTCTGTCTGTCTGTCTGTCAGAAGGCAGTAGCACACTACTTTCATCAAGTTGAATCAATTTTGATTCAAGAGAAAGTCACTGTGGCTAATAACTTTATCTATAATAATAAGCATTCTGATTTATCAGTAATGATGATAATGGATGAAAGGATGGAAAAACTCATGGAAGTAGCAGAGATAGCTAAATTAAATGCTCTAATCAGAGAAAACACATCCAACTTTGTTTCTTCTTAGAAACTGCTTCTGGATTTTGTGCTTGAGATAGAAAAAAGTGAATTTTTGATTTTTGCTGATTAGATAAGTTTGTTGTTATAGAAATGACTAGTACATATTAAATATGTAAAAGTAAAAAAGTTGAGGCTGTAATATTTTATTCCAGTTCTCTAAAAAGAGTCAAAAGTCAATGTTTTTCTTTTTTCCCCTTTTTCCTTCCCCATTTTCCAACTATTTTCATTTTCATTTGTATTTTATACTTTGATACGTTGAATTAAATTATTATAAAAATGATGATAATATTAATGCAAAGGGAAGACATTCTCCGTTTTTTTTAAAGCATATTAGAAAGTGGTAGTTGAACATAGCTTAAAAATAAAAACAAAATACCTGTCTTTTTAAATGAGATGTTTCACCAGATCTATCAGAAACCATGACTGTATCCAAGGTAGAGGGCATCCTTTGAGACAGGCACTTATTGTGGATGGCAAATTTTAATTCTTCTTTCACCAATGGGGTCAGATTTGTGAAATCTTCAAAGCTGAAGGATACCGGAGGAGATAAGCATGGGATAATTGCAGAAGCACTGACTTCTGAAGCAGACACCTGGCCCAGGTGTTGGAGCATCATTTTGCTGCATGGGAACAAGGGAGAGAAAAATGAATTTTTCCAAAGTTTTAATGAAGCAAAAAAATACTGGCTACAACAATAATTAATTCAATTAATGCAGAATTCAGAAAATCAATCACTGAATAATGAGATTCTGGCTCATAACTGAATATTGATAGAACAATTATATATTCACGTGCAGAACAGCATTTATTTATTGTATTTATATAGCTACCCATCTCAGTCTTGTGATTCTGAGCAGCTTACAATGCAAAACCTAAAAACAAAAACTAGCAAAACTGTATTACAATAAAGCTGAGACTCATTCATTCATGTCGGGCTCACCTAATAGCCTAGCGCAGTGGTTCTCAACCTTTTTAATGCTGCGACCCCAACCGGTCGTAAGTCAAGGACTAAACCAGTCGTAAGTCGAGGACTAAACCGGTCGTAAGTCGAGGACTAAACCGGTCATAAGTCGAGGACTACCCAACCGGTCATACGTTGAGGACTTTCCCTGCCCGGGAGCGCCGCGCATGCGTGGTTCCGCCCCCTGCGCCGGCCGAGGCGTAGCTGGCAAGCGGCAGAGACGGAGCAGGCCAACCACCAGCTGGCCCAGCCCAAGGGAGGTAAGGCACCCACCGGAAAAGGGGGGAAAAATGGCGGACAAAAAAAATGGCGGACAAAAAAAATGGCGGACAGCCTTGCTTGGCGACCCCCGTGAAATGGTCGATCGACCCCAAATAGGGTCCCGACCCACAGGTTGAGAACCACTGGCCTAGCGGCTAGCCCCAGTGCTGAGTGAAAAAACAGCTCTTCAAGGCTTTCTAGAGAGCTAACAGGGTTGGGGCTGCCTAGATTTCAGAGAGATGCTACACCACAAGCAGCCACTCCCCACCCCCTAATCATTATCACTTCCATACAGGTAGTCCTCGACTTACAACAATTCATTTAGTGACCATTTGACATCGGCACTGAAAAAAGTGACTTTATGATAGTTTTTCACACTTACGACCATTGCAGCCACCCCACGATCACGTGATCAAAATTTAGATGCTTGGCAGTTGGTTCATATTTATGACCGTTGCAGTGTCCTGGGGTCATGTGATCACCTTTTGACAAGCAGAATCAATGAGGAAATCAGATTCATTTAACAACCATGTTACTAATTTAACAACTGCTGTGATTCACTTAACAGCTGTGCCAAGAAAGGTTGTAAAATGGGGGGGAAATTCACTTAAGTCTCTCGCTTAGCAATAGAAATTTTGGGCTCAATTGTGGTTGTAAGTTGAGGACTACCTGTATTTAATTCAACTAGAAACTGAGGGCATATTTCACAAAACCGTCAGATAGCAATCATACTATATGATAATACTGAATATAAATAACTTTTAATAATAGTACTGGTCAAAGAATACTGTGCATTGAAAAATGTAAGGCTGAATGAGTACTTGTGCAATAAGAGCACTTGAATTTAAACAATTGATTTCTAATTAATATTCCTGTCTCCTGTTTAGATACACACATGAAATTATCTTATACCTATGTTGTCTATGAATTTTAAATACACCAAATCACTGCAGCGAATGGTCAAGTAGTTTGGACTGAGGTGTTTTTTTTTTAAAAAAAATTATGTATGTCTTTCACACATATAAATGTTCACATCTAGTTTGCCATTCTGATTATTTTCAGAAGCAGTTCTTTTCAGTGAAGCTGTACTGTGGGAGACAGTGTATTGGTTTTTTTGTTCAATAAAATCAACCATCTTCCTTACTCTTTATTGGAAATATATACGGTATTTGGGACATATAAGGGCAGAATTATTTGATACCTTAAATAGGTAAGGAAATCTACTTTGCATAATAACTATAATCACAGCAATATTACACTTCACAATAGATAAACCAATTATTGCCTTTAGGGTTTATGTACACAAGCAAATCCAATAAACTATTAAATAGAATTTAGTTTATGCATTATCTTTTACAATTTCAGGTAATGGTTAGAGTTTAACAAGTCCAATTATGAACAAATACACAGTATTGTTTTATTTAAAATGGCATGTTAAAGATCAAATTCAAATCAAGTCCAAATGTAATTATTGAAATAAAATAGACTTGCAGTCTTTATTTACTTCTTTAATGTTTGTATTATGTCCACACAATTTTTAGCCTTCAAAATACACACAACCAGTAGTTAACACAGAAAGCACCTCCACATACAATTAAATATGTACTCCATCTCAACATGGACGTGGACACATGCTTTGCTACTTGAAAAAGATATATATACACTGGAAACCCATAGCCAGCTGTTACAGAAACATGTAAGCATTTGACTATAGAGAGTGTCTGTATTAATCTTTGTACCCTTGTATTTTCTGTGTAACAATATATTTGTGTATAGACCTAACCTCAAACAAGAAAGTAGAAAGCCAAAAGGTTTCATATCTCTTGATCATCAGAGGGATGATTTCCTGGAATTGTAATTTACATAGATCTTGAAAAAACTATGTAATTTTGCCAAAAAATCCCCTAAACCATGAGTCACAGCTCAAAATCCTGATACTCCTAAATCTTTTCAAGAGACAGAAAATACCAAGCCAACAAAGGTTTACAATGTTCAGGTTTATCATTTAAACTTTCAACCCAGATGGTAATAATAAATTGCTCCTAGCATTAGTCAATGTTGTTTAAAAAAAGAGTTGATGCATGTGCATCTTTCATTTATCATAAAGAGCATATAATTTTGGATGGGATATGTAGAAAAAGCGTATCTGTTTTAGCTTTGTAGGGATAGGAACCTGCCTTACAAAGTTCAAAAAACTGATGCTGACAGCAATATTTATTTATTTATTTTGCGGTAAAGAATGGGTAACTTTATGGATGGATGTGCAGACACACACACACACAAGTCTCATAAGTAAGTGTAGTTTATAGGTGTCTCATAAGAATGTCATTTCCTGATGTTCCATTCCTTACATTGCCATTACTGCACTGTATTGTTGGCTTCATCACTACTTCTTGAGAATTTGGGGACTAGCCAGGGTCTCATTACATCAATCTTGTGGTAGAGAAACAGTTGAGAATGCTGGCCATACAACAGCACTTTCGAAAGAATTACTACAACTTCAAGGCTACAGTAATGCCATCCCAACAACCACACTGTCTTTGACCACATTCTCAGCTGGGTTTCAGATGGCAATTGAATTCACTGATCTTTCCTCACTATTAGGTAACCCAAACTAGGTTCTTGCATCTCAAATTTGGTAAAGCACCTCCTGAATCAGGGAAGAGGTTTCCAAGATGTATTGAATCCTGCACATTGACAACAACCTTTTTGTATGTCTACTACAACCCCAAGCTTTCTCATGGAAGGCAGAAAGAAAGGTGTTTGGTGTACATTACACCCTAGAGATGGCATTAGGGGTGACATGATACAGTGTTCCAATATCTAAGGGGCTGCCACAGAGATGAGAGGGTCAACCTATTCTCCAAAGCAACTGAAGGCAGGTCAATCAATAGAGCTGGAAGGGACCTTGGAGGTCTTCTAGTCCAACCCCTTGCTCAAGCAGGAGACCCTATATCATTTCAGACAAGTGACTGGCCAGTCTCTTCTTCAGTGATGAAGCACCCACCCAATGATGATGTACCCACAACTTCTAAAGGCAAGCTGTTCCACTCATTAATGTCCTCACTGTTAGGAAGGTTCTCCTTAATTCCAGATTGCTTCTCTCTTTGATTAGTTTCTATCCATTGCTTCTTGTCCTGCCCTCTGGTACTTTGGAAAATAAGTTGTTCCCCTTCTCTTTCTGACAACCTCTCAAATGCTGGAAAGTCAAGAAGCAATGGGTGGAAACTAATCAAGGAGAGAACCAACCTAGAACTAAAATTTCCTGACAGTGTGAACAATTAATCAGTGGAATGACTTGCCTTCAGAAGTTGTAGGTGCTCCATCACTGGAGGTTTTCAAGAAGAGACTGGACAGCCATTTGTTCAGAATGGTTTAGGGTCTCCTGCTTGAGCAGGGGGTTGACTAAAAGACCTCCAAGATCTCTCCCAACTCTATTATTTGGTATTCTGTATGGACAGCAGAGCAGGATAGTCTCAATCTGAGTGTGAAGTAAGGATACATTCTGCTTCAGAAGGGGGGAATGGCATGCCTCTGCAATCAACACGGTGATAAGGAATCAAAGTGACTGGACAATCATTTGTCTGAAACGGTATAGGGTTTCCTGCTTGAGCAGGGGTTAGACTAGAAAACCTCCAAGATCTCCCTTCCAATTCTCTTATTCTGAGACCATTATACATACTATTCAATAATGTTTATACTGAATAAATAAACAAGAACTATAGTTTCTTAATTCCATTTCCAACCTTCATTTTGAACCATCTCCCAGGCTTTCTTTGGTTTAGATTTCTTCATTGGTACTACCTTTATTTAATAACTGTCATATAGACTCACTCTATAGAACTATCCAAACTAGAAACAACCTGTACCCTTTATTACACCAGGAATCTGAATATCACCTATGGTGGTTGATGCAAGGTGGTTGCAATCACACAAATACGGTACATTGAATAATTATTTACAGCCATGCCATACTTTTACTTCCAAATTATTGTTAGTATATCTGATATGCCAAACCTATGTTTTGAAATGTTAAAAGGCTGTAACATCTTTGCAAAATGCCCCTACCCTTTAAACAAGGTTATGGGAGAAAAGCACTTAACAATGAGCATTTAAAGTAAAATTTTAATGGATGAGTTTTTGGGGAATTTAGCCCACCTTTCTATATTGGTCAGGGTTGATGGAATCTGTAGATCAACATATAGAATAATAACTTTGTTACTTTGAATGTACACTAATCGGCATCCATTAAAATGAAATTTTATTGCATACAGCTCTCAAAGGATCACCACCTCCAATATACACTACATAAATATGACAAAAATAAATAAATACAGAATTATGCATATACCCATATATAGTATATGACCCAGAGAAACAACACAGTCTAGTTTGTATACATGTGCATGGCAAGAAAAATGAATCTTGCGAGTTTACCAGATGGATGGCATAGAGAACAAAGCTATTACAGAATCGGGTAGTCCTACTAGAAATACTTTGAAACCTTCTCCCAGAGGGGAGCAACAGAAACAGACCGTAAAGTGGGTGTGTGGGGTCTCTAACAATGCTTTGAGCTCTAAGCACGTAGCGCTTATAAGCAGCATCTTGAATACCAAGAAGTGAGCTTCCTATGATCTTCTTGGCTGTCCTTACCACTCTCTGTATGGACTTTGTATTTGAAGCACTGCTGCCACCAAACCAGACAGTGGTGCAGTTTGTTAATCGTGCCTCTGTAAAAAGTGGTCAGAAGGACAAAGATGTGCTCTCCTCATCTGACGCAGGAAATGCAGATGCTGGTTTGCACGCTTCACTAAGGATGATGTGTGGAGAGACCAGTTCAGATTGTTAGTTATCTGCACCCCCAGATACATATGAAGGAGTTCAGATTGAGGAAGCCTAAATGATTCAAGGATTCTTAGTTCTGTACATCAAAATGTCTTCACTTTATCTTCATTACCTTATGTCTTTTAATAAAAGAAATGAAATCAGTTTTGGGAATTAGGCATATCAAAGGGCCTGTTCTATTATATCCTTGTCTTAGAATCAACCACATCACAATTTATTTTCATACTTTATTTGTTTATTTTATTTATTTACAATGTCATTAAACTATTATTTAATAGTTTATTCCATTTATAGGCTGCCTGATCCACTGGGACTCTAGGAAGCACACAATATATGAAATTTAAAGCAATGCAGCCTACACCTATAGGGAAACATCTAGAAAAACCAATACAATCCTACCAATAAAACAAACAACAATGGGGAGGGTTGGGGAGGATGTCATTCCAGGGGTTAGGTGCTATGGGGAGGGGGAGAATAGGGAATGTTTGTTTTTGCTGTTTTTTTCTCCTATAGCAATAGAAAATCCTTTATCTCTCATTTCTTTCAATCTGAATCAATTAACTCACACGTTTAACAGTGTTAAACAAAGACACTCTTGAGTTTTCTCAAAGACCAGTCAACTAAGCCTAGCATGCAGGCATTCTGATACAAAAGTTATTACGTTTCTGAAACTTGAGTTACAGTTTAAGTAAATTTTATATATATGAAAACAACTTCACTTTCCAAACGTGTACAATAGAGCCAACATGATGTAACTCATGTGCAAGAAGGAGGCAGCACAAGTCTGGGTAAAGTGCAAGGTTTACAGAAGGACACAAATATTAAGGAAAAGGGGAAAGGGGAATTCCCAATAGCCCAGTGAGAAAGGGACTGGCTCCATGGGGAGCGAAGGAGGCCAAGAGGTGAAAAACTGGGTGGAGAGATGGAATGGAATATTTTTTAAAAGGTGTGGCTGGTAGTTGGAAAATCGACAGTCCACACTATAATATAATGTCTGTTAACTTTGGAAACTTTAAGCAGTGTGCACGTGGCTGGGGAATTCTGGGAGTTGAAGCCCACGTTGCTTAAAGTTGCTAAGATAGAGAAACACTGCTACAATAGTTATTTGTATCAGGTCCCATTTCTGTTCCACTTTAATATTAAACAGAATATCGATATTAATTAATATAATTTAAATCTCATTTTTAATATAACCCACAAAACTGTTTATTCTTTTGCATTCTCAGAAGCTTCAGAAACTGGTTCACTTTTAGCTAGCTTGGCTGGCATTCAGACCTTTAAGATAGCCACCTGACCTGATTCTTTATGCCCAGTTTTTATCAAAACCTAATTGTTGTTCTTAATTAAAAAATTATCTTTGGCTTTTTCCCTGAATATCTTCCTTCTCTTTCCTGATACGGTAAGACCTGTGAAGCAAATTTAAACTTTCACAGTTATAAGAGTAATTAAAGTTCATAATCACCCTGGTTATTTTTGACCTTTTAAGACATTTACAGTGCAATCTGGTCACATTTAACTGGTGTTTACCAGTTAAATTATCACTTCTTGAGATGATGAAATGCAGTTGATAAGATACCAGAAACTGGTCACTGTGATGACTTTTCACTAGTGTCCTTATTTAGACCTGCCTAAGTTGGAAAGTTGGACAAAAGTATAGCATTTTCTTCAATAAAAAAGAAAATAACATTTTTTTCAATGAATTTGGCAGAAATTCTATGTGGACATTTACTTAAGAATAATCCCTATTGAACTGAATTAGAATTTTTAATAAGCGTGTTCTGATATTTCATTTATTATTTTACTTATATATTTTTATTTATTGCCTTTTTAAAAGAATATGTTTATGCATATACATAAAAGACAGAAGATAAACCTAAGTGCTGTCAACTCATTGACAATGAACACATTGGTTCTTACTTCTGAATAAATAATACAGATTTTGCTGTAAGATTATACTCTTATACATACTTTCTTGTTAATTATGAAGCTTCTTATGAAGTTCATGGGCTTGGTTCCAAGAAATCTCACCACACCGGCTTTCTGGGCAGCCATGCTACACAGACTTAACTATAGGAGTAAATCCCATTTAATTCAGTGAGACTTACTTCCAAGCTTAGGTTGGAATAAATCCTAGATTTACTAATGACTCATCTTCATATAAATAAAATTGACAGATGTAGATATTTTCCTTCTATCCTTTTACAAGATCACTTCAGTAAAAGCAAGCAATCTGCTGTTAATATTCACGTGTGTCATCTTTTCAAACTTTAGGTCCCTTGCTTATCTTGGATTTTATCATTCTTAATTTCTGGTCAATATGTCCAATATCAGATCTATTAATGCCTCGCCCCCCCCAACATAGGTGTGGAAGACACAAAAATCTAACTCTCAAAGATCCTGGACATCATCTCTACATTGAAATCCTGAAATCAACCTATAGCTGCTGTCTGAAGTAAATATACTAGGCTGAATTACAGGTAGTCCTAGACCAGGGGTCTGCAACCTTGACAACTTTAAGACTTGTGGACTTTGGCTCCCAGAATTCCTCAGCCAGCATAGTTTGACAACTTTAAGCATAGCTGGCTGAATTCTGGGAGCTGAAGTCCACAAGTCTTAAAGTTGTCAAGGTTGCAGACCCCTATCCTAGACTTACAACAGTTCATTTGGTGACCATTTGAAGTTACAATAGAACTGAAAAAAGTGACTTATGACCGTTTTTCACACTGAAGACCATTGCAGCATCCCTGTGGTCATGTAATCAAAATTCAGATGCTTAACAACTGATTCACGTTTATGACGATTGCAGTGTCCCCATGTCATGCGATCCCTTTTTGCCACCTTCTGATCAGCAAAATCAATGGGGAAGCAAGATTCACTTAACAACCGGGTTATTCCCTTAATAACTGCAGTGATTCACTTAACAACTTGGCAAGAAAGGTCATAAAATGGGGCAAAATTCACTTAACAACTGCCTCACTTAGCAACAGAAATGTTGGGCTCAGCTGTGGTCATAAGTTGAGGACTACCTGTACTTTATAGCAGGGGTCCCCAACCCCCGGGCCATGGACCAGTACCAGGCCGCAGCATGTCAGCAACTGGTCCGCACAAACAAGCCCCATCCGCAGGATGCAGGCAACACACAAAACCACGCCCCCTCTGGTCCACAGGAAAACCTCTCTCCATGTAACCGGTCCCTGGTGCCCAAAAGGTTGGGGGCCTCTGCTTTACAGTGTTATAATTCCAAACTGAGCTGCTTTAATACCTGGAATGATGAGAACAGTAGATAGCTCTTTTGAGAGCTTTGTAGTAAGCAACAAATATTCTGAACGAATTGAACAATTAATTGATAATGGAAAAGGAGATGTCTGCCCACCCAGATCAAAAAATGAAGAAACCAGATAGGGTTGCCAGGTCTGCTTCCAAAAAATAGCGGACAAGCGGGGGGGGGGGGGG